TGTATTCCATCCCAAGTTTATTCACTACTTCCAGTCTTCTCCTAAACATGCACACACCTGCTCTGGGTGTGCAAGAAAAATCCAGGTGAGTAAAGTGAAGCAAACAGGGGCAGGACACACCAGCAGGCAAAGGAGAGGGGCAAGGGCACGAGTGGAAGGGGTCAGGAACTTGAGATCCCCCCAGGGGGGAGGAGCAGCATCCCTGGGTGACCCCACAGCCTGGATCCAGCTGCTGGAGCTGACTCCAGGCATGTTTTCCCATGAGGATCCAGGCTGGATGAGCCCAGGGAGCCCTGTGTGCCCTGGGCAGCCCCACTGCCCTGCTCTGGCTGCTGGAGCTGACTCCAGGCATGTTTTTTTTCCATGAGGATTCAGGCTGGATAAACTCAGGGAGCCCTGTGTGCCCTGGGCAGTCCCATTGCCCTGCTCTGGCTGCTGGAGCTGACTCCAGGCATATTTTCCCATGAGGATCCAGGTGGATGAGCCCAGGGAGCCCAGCCTGCCCTGGGCACTGCTGTCCTGCTCCAGCTGCTGGAGCTGACTCCAGGCATGTTTTTTCCCATGAGGATCCAGGTGGATGAGCCCAGGGAGCCCTGTGTGCCCTGGGCAGCCCCACTGCCCTGCTCTGGCTGCTGGAATGGCTCCATGGATGTTTTCCCATGAGGATCCAGGTGGGATGAGCCCTCTGAGCCCAACCTGCCCTGGGCACCGCTGCCTTGCTCCAGCTGCAGGAGGTGACTCCAGGCGCATTTTCCCACGGGGATCCAGGTTGGACAAGCCCCCTGACCCCAGTCTACTCTGGGCAGCCCCACTGCCCTGCTCCAGCTGCTGGAGGTGACTCCAAGTGTGTTTTCCCATGAGGATCCAGGTGGGATGAGCCCCGTGCCGCTGCCTTCCATCCCCATGCTGGTTTGCTGTGTCATTGCAGAGCTATTTATAGACTCAGGGTTGTATCCAGGGAACTGGAGGATGTTGACTAGTGTTCATCTATGAATAAAACATGGATATTTTCCTGGCTGGAGGAGCTGAGAGCTGCTTTGGATTTAATGTTTTACTCTCTGATCGGGCTCAGCTGCCGAGCCAGTTCCTTCTACTTCACACACAAGGGAGAGAGTTGAGACTTGGACTGAGAGAAAACATTGCAAACACTTGGTCAGGATGTCCCTTGCCATCAATATTATGGGGAAAAAAAACGATAAAACTTCAGTAAATGTGCTTTTTATGCAGGTAGTTTCCTTTTCTCCAGTTTTTCTCTCCCCCGAGGTCATAAGATCAACTTCTCAACTGAGCACAAAACATTTCATTCTGAAATTTCTTTGCATAATACAGGCTTGGAAATCTTTGCCTATCTGTAACTGTAAATGGTATTTAAACAGAAGGCATGCCCATGTTTTTTTCCACATATTAAATTGCACAAGAGGGAATGTTCCTTACTTTCTTTTCTTGATGCCCAGCTGGGGCTGCCCAGTCTGCCCTGAATTTGGACCACTTGGATGAAATCCAACATCCCCAAAAGCCCTCAGTGGCCATGGAAGTCTAGTGGGGGCCAGATCTGTGGAATAACAAAGGCAGACAGGCCAAAAACGCCCTTGCAAAGGCTGAGACTCCTCTTTTAGAAACATATTCCTGGGCAGAGGGCAAGACCTGCTCTTACTGAGGTGTCTTTACACTGTTCTGGCTTTGCAGAGGGAAAGAAGGAGCCTCAAAGCAATGATTTATTCCTACCTACCACCTCTCACCCCTCAGCTGAGCGAAGGGAAGGGAGGAAGGTGATGGATTTTTAGCTTTATTCAGCCAAGCTGAGGAAGCCAGAGCAGTGCAGGCTCTGCAGCACAGCACAGCACGTGGCTTTTCAGTGGGCTAAAGGGATCTAAACTGAGCTCTCGTGCTGCTGCAGCCAGGATATTCCTGGTGCATCCCAGCTTGCCAGCACCAAACCTGCTCAGGGATCTCTGCACTGCAAGGAATCCACCACAGGTCTGTCCACAACATCTGCAAGAGAGAGCTCTGGAGTGCAACCAGCTACTCATGGAATGGGCCAAATGGGGTTTTTTTGAGTGGGTTTTGTTTTCTGTTTAAATCACCATTTCTTGCACCTCCTTATAGGCACACGTTTGTTAGGCAGCATCAGAGCTGACAGACACTGTAATACTGTAGATTTAAATCAGATATATGGGAAAAATCCTTCCCTGTGAGGGTGGGGAGGCCCTGGCACAGGTTGCCCAGAGAAGCTGTGGCTGCCCCATCCCTGGGAATGGTCAAGGTTGGACAGGGCTTGGAGCAGCCTGGGCTAGTGGAAGGTGTCCCTGCCCATGGCAGGGGTGGAATGAGATGATCTTTAAGGTCCCTTTCCAACCCAAACCATTCTGGGATTCTACAGAGTTAAGGGCATTAAACCAATAATTTATCAAGGAATTCTACACCAAATCCATGGACAGATAAACTGAGAGAATGAGCAGGAGATTCACCATCTCTCAGGCACTTCATCTCCTTTTGCTGATCAATACAAATACTCCTCCTGTCTGACCCAATCTGTCTCTCTCTGCCTGTTGAAAAATTAATGCCAAGTTTTCCACGGTGACAACTGAGATGTGAAATGACAAAAGGAAGGTCAGTTTGATGGATATATTTCTCCATACACTTTTGAAGTAGGTCAGGTTATATAGGACTTGGCATCACTCTCAAAGCAATCATAACTGGAATTAAATTTAGATTTCAATAACGAAGGCGCTCGAAAAAGTCAAAACTCCAGGCCTGGTTTTTTTTGGCCCCTCTTTGCTTCCTGCAAGAGCCACCCCAGGGCTCCAGAGTCCCCTCAAAGGATTGATAACACACAGATAATGCCCATTCACCCAAGAGAGCAGTTTATTTTTCGCCATTATTTTTGTCAGCCTCCTTGGACAAATCACCCCATTTATGTACAACACTTCCATGGCAGCTTTCACTGTCCAAGTGCAGTTTATGTAGAACATATTACCCTTGCAGCTGTCTCTGCAAGGTGAATAAATACTATCAGCCCCTGCTGCTGCAGCCCAGGATGTGCAGAATGGGAATTTGAGCTGAACTGCCCAGATGTGCTCGAGAATGACACAATCAGCACACAGAGAGCTCAGTTTCTCTGATATTTAAACCTGTATCACTCAGAAAACTTTCTTTTCAGGTTCAAAAAGGCTTAGGTTTAATATATACCTGTCGTGGCTCACTTGGCTTGAGTTGGATTCACAAGAAAAATAACAAACCAGTGCAAGAAGTTTGTGTTTCTCAGTGTTTCAACCCACCCTACAGTTGAAACCTTGCAAGAAGAGAGCCTGACCTAACGAGATTACACAGGTTACTATTTTTAAAGCCAACTACACCGAGGAAGAACAGAAAGAAAAGCCCATTACTGGGTGATAAATAAAATAAAACTCATTTTCCAATGCATTCTGTAAATCAGAATGCTAAAAAGAACCTCCAAGGCTGTATTAAAGCTGAGAAAAAACGTAACGTGAAATCAATGTTAAAGGCCATCTCAGCATCCTTTTATCTAACCAAAATTGTAAACACACTGCTCCATTCCCAAAGCACAAAAATCCATTTACACTTTGCGTACTTGAAAAGAGGTCTAATGCATTTTGAAAACCTCAGACTTAACTGCACATTTCTGCCATTTAATACAACGAGGTTTAATAAGATTTGCAGGAGGCACAAAAAGGGAAAATCGAGCCCTAAAGATGAACACACACATTTCAGGGTCCCAGCAGAGAGAGGCAAAAAAAACCAGTGATGGGGAAAATGTAACAGCAGGAGGGATCAAAGCAGGATAAGGGATGACCAGGAAACACAGGGATATTTGGGAAGCACAGACTCAGCACTCAACTCCTTGCAATAGTTCTCTGAGCAATTAGCAGATGATTTGTAGCAGGGACAGAGAGCCAGTTTTCAAACCCAGTTCCCAGAAGGACGTTATTTTTGGTGGATAACTGAATTCCAGAGCTACACAGGTCATTTTAGCTTTGGACAGCACAACCAGACAGACAAACTGTGAAGGAAAATGCAGCTTGGGCTGCACAGGTTGGTGCTGCTCTGGTCAGGAACACGGGGACAACCTCCCTGGAGAGACTGGGCCATCCTCAGGGTACTTAAATCTCTCCATCCTGCTCTGGTCACTGCTCAACAGCATGGCAGCACTTCCAGCTGAGAGGCATGAGTTTAAATTTCTGAATACAGCAAGAGAAAACCCTGAAACCACACAGACATGAGCTCAGAAAGATGGGTCTGGAGACATCTAAGAGTTGGAGCTGTTTGAAGTGCCGGGTCCTGCACTTTGGCCACAACAACCCCCAGCAGCCCCACAGGCTGGGACAGAGGGGCTGGAGAACAACCAGGCAGAGAAGGGACCTGGGAGTGGGGATGGACAGGAAGCTGAACAGGAGCCAGAGTGTGCCCAGGGGGACAAGAAGGCCAAGGGATCCTGGCCTGGATCAGGAACAGTGTGGCCAACAGGGCCAAGGAAGTGATTCTTCCCCTGGACTCAGCACTGGTGAGGCCACCCCTGGAGTGCTGTGTCCAGTTCTGGGCCCTCAGCTCAGGAAGGACATTGAGGTCCTGGAGCAGGTCCAGAGGAGAGCAACAAGGCTGGGGAAGGGACTGGAGCACAAGTGCTGTGAGGAGAGGCTGAGGGAGCTGGGGCTGTTCAGCCTGGAGAAGAGGAGGCTCAGGGGAGACCTCCTCACTCTCTGCAACTCCCTGACAGGAGGGGGGAGCCAGGGGGGGGGTTGGTCTCTTTTCCCAGGCAACCATCAGCAAGACAAGAGGGCATGGTCTTAAACTGTGCCAGGGGAGGTTTAGGTTGGATATTAGAAAGAATTTCTTTGCAGAGAGGGTGCTCAGCCATTGGAATGGGCTGCCCAGGGAAGTGGTGGATTAAAAACCTGGAGGTTTTTAAGAAGAGACTGGATGTGGCATCAGTGCCATGGGCTGGGAACCACAGCAGGGTTGGATCAAGGGTTGGACTTGATGATCTCTGAGGTCCCTTCCAGCCCAGCTGATTCTATGATTCTGTGATTCTATGATTTATGAAGTCATCCCTGTAACCAGCCATCCACCACCCATGGACTTATCCCTCACAGTTACCCAGCGGGTTTTGATCTCTCCACTGACACCTGGGTGTCCTGCAAAGGTTGCAGAAGCACTGAACAGTGAGTTTGGGGGCTTAAAACCCTCCTGAAACTCCCTGCCCTGTTCCCAGCACTTAAACTCCCACAGCCTCTTGAAGTCCACGATGCCAAAGCATAAACTCAGGGAATATTTTTCCCTCTGCTTAAAATTAGAGAGGCAGACATCAAGCTTGGTTTAAAGTGGTGTACACACAGCAGAAAGCTGAGAGCTTACCCACAAGTGGTCCAAGGCATGGCACAAACTCAAATGACTCAACACAACAGATGCTCTTTATACCTGTCTGACTTTCTGTACAACGTGTGCTTTGATCCAAAAGCTTTTATGGCAGTGCTTGAGCCAAAGATCACTGGGGAAAACAGAGCCCTGTTGACTCCAGAAAGCCCTGGATCAGGCTGGCAGAGGGAGGAACTGAGCATCAGGTCTGGAGTCAGGAATGTAAAATGCACACGCTCAAAATTAAAAATATGCCTCCTGTGCACTCACCCTGATAAGTTATGTTAATTCTCTCCCTCAAAAATGCCTTTTAGCATTGGGAACACAGGGTCACCCCAGGAAAGCCCTGCCCGTGGCTTTGACCCCCTCTGGACATCACATGTTGCCAAGACAACCCACGAGGAAAGAGCCCTGCTCTGGCTGCATCAGTGGCCTGAGGGAAGGGGAAGGGGTTGAGCAGGCTGGGAGCAGATTTCCATGGAAAAATCAGACAGTGACTTCAGAGGGGGTGATGAAATCACCAGGGATAACATTTGTCCTTTTTTCCCATTGCTGCAGCATGCCAAATTCCCTGGTTCCAACACACAGTTCTGAGCTGTGCAAATAAATCCAGAAAAGACCTGGGATCCCCACTGCAAACTGCCCTGAACTGTGCAGGTAAATCCAGAAAAAACCTGGGATCCCCACTGCAAACTGCCCTGAACTGTGCAGATAAATCCAGAAAAACCTGGGATCCCTGCTGCAAATGCCCTGCTGAGGAAAGAAACCCACTGGGGCTTCTGCACCTTTGCTTTCAGTTCTCTTGAGCATTTCCTTCTCTCTCTCGCCCATCTCCAGCCCGTATCCAGCAGGTGTTTCCATGGCAACACCGTGTAAAGCCATCCTTTCCCTCTGACATGGGAGAAAATGTTGAATGGCTGAAAAGAACTGGCTTGGGAAAACCTGGAACTTCCACTAAAAACAGGCAAGGCAATAATGGGAGGTGATGGTGGAAAAGCTGCCCCGGGGGCTTCAAACCCCTCCTGGGGGTCTCTTGGTGCAGCTGAAGGCAATTTGTCGTTTCTCTTTGATGAGAAGAAAGAAAGGGGTTTGTTTTCTTGTGAGATGTGGAGCAGCCCTGGCAGTGTTGTCCCTTCGTTCAAGGGGACGTTCCCTTCCCCTCTTAGCAGGAAGTCTCCTAATTCCATTTTATCCCATAGAAATGATTCTGAGGGACCAAGAGGGCCAGGAAGGAGCAGCAGAGCCCCAGACTCTCCCCTAAGGATTGGCTTTGCTTGAAAGCCTATAACTCTTCCAGTAAATCAGTGTAATTTGTGCTCTGATGTCCTGCACGGCTTTACAACAAGTGACAAATCAATCATTATCCAAACATCCTTTGATAATCAGTGTGGTTCCATTAATTATGATAAATGCTTTCAGCAGCTGCAGTATGTGGACCTAATGCATAATTGCTTGGGAATCATATTACCCTACTTTTCTCCTCACTCCATCAAGTACAAAGTCTCTCCAAAAACTGCCACACTCCAGCAGCTGAAGGCAGAGTTTACACAATCCACTCTTGCAAGGGTTTAATTGGAGCAAATGCAGAGTCCATTAGTATTAGTGTTATTAAATATTAAGTAATATTCCTTGAAAAGGGCCCATTACAGCTTTACAAATTACAAATATACAGGAGGACTCTCTCAGTCTCCTGACCCGGGGGATTAATTGGAGCAGTTGTTGCACAGCAACACGGTGCAGGCGATTAGGACCTCACCTAATGAGCAGCACTGCATCCAATTGGAATTGCAAGGAAATTTAGCCTGGCAGAATGCAATTACTGGATTCTAAACCTGATTGGATCAAAGCCTGGCCGTGTTCTTCAAAAAGTGCACCTTTAAGGAGCGGGGAAAGAGCCCCAGGTGAGAAGGGGCAATTCCCACCGGTCTTAAGGACACGAGAGGGGAAGGGGCTGAGAGGCCTCGAATTAAAGGGACAAATTTGACCAACAGGTCACTGGATGCACCTTCACATGATTAAACCTCAGGGATTCGGGGCCACAACACATCCCTGGGAGCAGGAGTTCAGCTGCCTTTTCAGAAAGAACCAACATTTCTATCGAAACCCAGGACTCGTCGTCAAAATAAGACAATGTGAACTTAGAAAAGGTTATAATTCTTTTCAATTCACAGAGAAATGGCCTTAGTGGCAGGTTTTTCCCTTGTTCAGGGTCTTTTTTTTTTTTTCCATTTGTCACTGGGAGTGACAGGATGCTGAACTGGGTGGATTTTTGGAGCTCCTGCTCACGAGAGCGCGTGTGCTTTTATTCCCTTTCATCCCGGTGAGCTCGAGGAGTCAGACCTTGGGTTTACATCCATCAGCAGGGAGCTTTAAGGGAGTTTTCCAGGGGATTTGGGTAAAGCAGAACAGCTCCATTAAATCGTGAGGGGAACCAAAACCTTGCATCTCAGCTCTTCCTGCAACATCTGTGTTATTCCTGCAGTAACTCCTGCTGGGAAAAGTATGTTAAGATCGGGTTTAGGAGGGGAAAAAACTTAGTTGTTTGAAAAGTTTAAAGAAAAGTGGGTGTGGAATAAATATTTGGATAGATCAAAGCAGCACAGGGATGGGGCAGGAGCAGCTCCTGGGGGTTCCTCATCTGGTAGGGACAGGGAAGCAAAGATGAGGGAGCAGCTGGACCAGAGCCTGGAAATTTTAGCACAGTGGGAAATCTTAGGGAAAAAAATGTGCAGGAAGGCTGGAATGAAGGGTTCAGCTGAATTGCAGCCTGGCCTCCCCAAAAGAATTGGGAAAATCAGGATCCAGACCCCAAACTAGCCAGGTCTGAGCAGGAGCCTGTGGTGCTCAGTTCAACTGGGAGTGCAGTTGCCCTGGGAGGAAGGACAACAATTGTCACAAAAAAGCAATATTTAAAGCATAAAGACAAGCAGAAATTCTGCTTAGAGGACTCCTTAGAGTGGAATTTGACCTAGAATTTGACTTTTTAAGATGGAATTTTCATGAAAATAATGAAGGCTGTATAAACTGTGAGTCTGAACATCCTGTTCCTGGTGCTCTGCACTTCCAGACATCCCTTTTACAGGTAAAGGGATCCTCCTGTTTGGATGCAGGCAGAAGGAGATTTTGCAGAGGGATTCAGAAAAAAACCCAATATTTGTATTTTCAGAAAAAACAAACCTTCAGAGTAAAGGAGACAGAGCAGACACAAACCTGAGGAGACTCCTGAAGCACCTCCATGAGGTTCTTTCTGCTGATTTTCACCACCTTATTCTTTAGTCTTTAACCAGAGCCTTTCCTTTTCTCATCTACACGAGTTCTCCTGAGGAATCTGTGTCCTCAGATCCTCAGGGATCCACCCTGGTGTGTCCCCACCTGTCCCTTTCCTGCTTTCAGGGATGTACATCAGCCCAGTTCCAAGAGCTTTTTAGCAAAGAGGGGTTTAACTCTGTGTTTTCACCAATTTTCCCTAAACCTTTTGGCATTTAATGATCTGAAAATAAACCCTCTTTTGTATTTGGTGTGGTTTCGGAGTCTAATTTAGAAATGGTTTGAGAAGAGCTTTTTTTCTTCCTTTTTAGCCTTTATATCAGTCATTTCATCTGATATATGATAAGCTCAGATGAGTTTAAACTGATTCATCCTATTTTGTAATGTTTAAATGTACTTTGCTGGAGCTCCATCATAATGTCACACACTTTTAAAATGAATAATTCATCCTGCCCACCTTTTCTGAAATGCCAAAAGGATACTGAGCCTTACCAGAGAGAAGCAAATACCTTTACTTTAAAAGTACACAAGGAAACAATATAATTTAAGAACAAATACCAAGCCTGGCTGCACCACTGCAGATCTCAATACTGTGATCCCACCTGGGAGAACAAGCTGGAGCCCTGAAGGGAGGGAAGAGGTGCTTTTCCAGGGAAGGGTCAGCTCTGCAATAGGCACTGGTGGCTCTGGGCTTTCTAAGGGGAATCAAGGAATATCTGGGAACCAGTGCCAGGCCCAGATAAGAGTCTGGGAGCAGAGGCCTGTCAAGGAGCTGTGTGAGGAAGGACATTGATTTTCTGCCCGTGCTGGCACAGGTTCAGGGAGAGCTTTGGCAGTTCTATATTTAGCTGCTGGGTTAGGTACCTCACTAATAGCCAGGTAGAGCTTTGTCAGTTCTGAGCCCAGCAGGGATCAGGTTGAGGCTCTGGAAGGGATGTGTGTGGAACCGCTGTGTGCCGACCGGAATAAAAACAGGGATGAGGAAAGGAACCCGGAGAACTTCCAGTAACAGGCAGCAGAGCCTCCCCCAGCTGTGGAGCACCATGATTTCCCGTGGCCACGCTGCAAGGGCCCACTCTGACCTGGTGACACCATCTCCCACCCCAGGGCAGGGGGCAGGTGGTCCATGGGATGTTCGTCGTTCCCAGAAACAGCACCGAGCTCCCCGGGAACAACATTGGGAAATCTCCAGCCACAGGGATGGAGGAAGATGAAGGGAGCAGAAACCCCACCCTGGGTCTTTGGGGAAAGGGGGTGTGCTAGGAAAAGGGGCACAAAGATGATTGGAGTGATGGAGAAACTTTCCTCCTATGAGGAAAGGCCAGGAGAGTTGGGATTGTTCAGCCTGGAGAAGAGAAGGCTCTGGGGTGACATCAGAGCCCCTTCCAGGGCCTAAAGGGACTCTAAAAGAGCTGGAGAGGGACTTTAGACACGGGCCTGGAGCAACAGGACAAAGGGGAATGGCTTCACATGGACAGGGGCAGGGTTAGATGGGATACTGGGAAGGAATTGTTCCCTGTGAGGGTGGGGAGGCCCTGGCACGGGTTGCCCAGAGAAGCTGTGGCTGCCCCTGGATCCCTGGAAGTGTCCAAGGCCAGGTTGGATAAGGCTTGGAGCAACCTGGGATAGAGGAAGCTGTCCCTGCCCATGGCAGGGGGTGGGATGAGATGAACATCAAGGTCCCTTCCAACCAAACTGTGATTCTCTGATAAGAAAAAGGGGTCCTAAGCCCACTTTCCCTTGGATTACACATTTTACCTTAATTCCAGAGCAGAAAGAAGCATCTCACTCCTTCACCCCTGGCAGGAGTCACTGCAGGACTGACCCTGCTTTGCTCACAGCCCTTCGTGTGCCCGGCAGGAATTTTCTGCAAATGTCAAACAAATCCCTTTGCCCCGGGGTAGCTCGGAGGGAAAGGCAGGAGGCTGCACTGCTGGCAGGGCAGAGGAGTGAGCAGGGCCATGTGCCAGCACTGCCTGGCCTCCAGCAGCCCCGTGTGCCTCGTCCCAGCCCATTTCCAACCCCTCAACACCCATAAACCCATCGTTCCCCAGCCCCGGTATCCCAGGGCCTAAATCTTAATTTGTGTTTCATAAATATTTGATGCCGGGGTATTTTTACTGAATCACGGAGAAGGCAGGAGATGAACTCTCCACTGGAGATACTAAAGGCATCTGATCACTTCTGCTGAGCATTTGCAGCACTACTGGGTGTTATCACTCACCGCTTCAGACACTGCCAGCAAGAGCAAGGCAAGGACAGACCTCTATCACACAGCCTTGCTTTTGTGCAGACAAGGGTTCCAGCAAGCCCAGATCACCTCTCCAAAGTTAGGAAAAAGCCTCTCCAAACACCTTATGAAACTGGAATAAATAAAAATTAGAGCAAACTAAAAAAAACCTATAAAACTCAGTAGTCATTTTCCATCAAGGGCCCCAATGCTGCTCATCAAACATTGAAGAGCAGTCTGGGAATATCTGAAAAAATGACCTCATTGTCATTCTTCAAATCTTCCCTTCAAGCCTCAGAGCCCAGAGGTTCTTGTGAAAGTACATGAGATGAGTCTGGAGTCCTGTGGCCACAGGTTTGCACTTTCCCCAGTGGTTTTTTCACTCCCAACTTTCTTGTTTTATATGGTTGAAATGCAGAACAAATGATTGGCAGAACCCCTGGACATTCACCCAGGCTCTTTCTAAA